GAACGAGCGAGCGGAACGAGAGGCGGAGAAGGAGAAAGACAGAAAGGACAGAGAAGGTTGGGAAGGTGGGACGACAACGGGCCGGCGATACAGAGAGAAAGAGAAGGACACGTTGCACACGCACGGTTGCTGCTCTGCATGCATTTAAAACGGGGACGCGGCCCGTAAATCACGTAGTAGAGCCTCGGCTCGTTGCGGTGCACAACTCGACGGAGAGGACGTTGCGCGCCACCGCCGCCACGTGGTTTTCGCGGCAAAACTATGCGGCCGCCGCACGCCGGGCGAATTTATGAATGGGAGAAGCCTATTGACAGATCGCGCGTCGATAACTCTCTCGTTAATGGCCCGTGATGGTGGGTGAGCGGCTCGATGCGCCGCAGGAGGACGAGGAGGCGGAGGAGGACGAGAGAGTTGCTGCTGCTGCTGCTGCTGCTGCTGGAGGCCAGACCGACCAAGGAGGGCAACGGGGGAAGGGAAATTTGGACTCCGCTTTATGCCGCCCGGTGCTCGCGGCACACGCCGTGTTCCCCCGATTGCCACCAAGTCTCTTTGTCCTTTGCCCGTTGGAAAATCTTCCATCCAAACTGTTTACTACTGTGTGTGTCTGGCTGATCCCTCCCGGTTTTACTTAACCCTGTCTCTCCTAGCCGGGTAGTAACGTGTGTCGTTCGAACTAGGCACTTGTTATTAGGAGATTTTACAAATTATACGTTACGAGTTGTCATTAGTTGGTTATTGAAGGTTTGTATGTGTTGTTGGAAGAGAAAGAAGGGTAGAAGGCTTGGTAACGTAAAAAAAGGTTCGTCGTTACCAACAGCCGTTGATTAAGAACTTACGCTGTTACGGTCGAAAAAGTATATACTCGCGGCTGTCCACTTATTGCAGAAACTCGTTCGATTGTGAGAAAGAACGAGTCTGATGATAAAGCGAATGAAACTTTTCAAACTACGAACTATCCTAATATTTTATTTGATGTGAAGTTACTATAATTTCCTTTCGCGGAAAGGACGAATATTTCAAACTGTATTTTTGGATGCAAAATCGACGAAATTTTTGTGGAATGAATTCTGTAAGAAACGTTCGTCATGTTGGTTTGGTTATTTAGTAATTAGTACATAAAAGAAAGTCAGAGATACTTTTCCGTCTGTTATGTGAGGAATAAGAAATTCATGAAACAATTTTAACGTTCAGAAAATGTATAAAAATTTTTATACAAAATGAATTTATGATGAAACATTCTATATACTCTTATAATTTTAAATATGTAGTCATACGACTACAATGGGAATGAAAGGGTAGGAATGGATCATACATTCGTCTCAAGAAATAAAAACTAATCATCGAATTTGTATCTGATGAGATTAACCGTATATACAAGTCTTTTATTTTGAGCCAAACAACAATTAAATTGAAACATCAAAAATTTCAACATCTATAAACCAAAATAAAGATAAAGAAAAGTATAAGATAATTCTAAACTCTTAAATTCATCAGAGTTAAAAGAGAATGTATAAAAATCGATTTCTCGATTAATCATTATTTATTTTGTTAATACTTTTAATTAATTTCGACTTTTCCATTGGGAACGAAAGGGGCGAGTTTTTCACGGAAATCGTAGGAAAAAAAACGTTCTTTCTTTGCAAAAATAATTGATCGATTTCTTGACCACGTCCATCGACGAAATTACGCGTCAGTTTTAGCTGATCGATCGGTCGACTGTATCGGAAGAAAATATCCCACTTATATAACAGTACCAAGCACTATCTGTCACTAACAGCGGTGCTACTATTTTTTTTACTAACAAGTTGAGAATTTTCTGGAACTTTTTGTCCAACGATTAAAAAAAAAAGAAAAAGAAGTCATCATAGTTGTAACATTCCAAAATACGTAAAAATTTAATCGGTTCAATTCGATGGCAGAACTGTTGTGCAACACTGTCCGACGGATGGCGTTCAACTCTCGATCGTACACTCTACTTCAGCAAACTCTCGTGAAATAAAGTCAAAAATATATAAAATCGTAGCGCGTTACATATAAATTTTCGTATATTGTGTATAGTAAATGACCGAAATTCGATAATTCAAGAATTGAAGGTTGCAAGACGAAGAAGACGGACTAAGGTAAGTGAAAACACGTAGAAATTTGCGAAAAGACCGCACCGTCTTGTTTGAGAATACACTACGATCCAAAGTGTTGAAACTCTTATGGCGCACTTCCTGGTGAATAATAAAATAGTAAAGATATCAGGAGTACTAGGAGCCACAGATTCGACCGGAGCACAAAGTCACCGTCGGATCGAGAGCCAGCCATCACGCGAGCAATGCGATTTCTCGGAATACCTATCATGTATGTCACTGACACAAAGCATCTTAGCCAATATTCAAAGTCTGCAAGTTCACCACTGAGACGCATAGCTATCTACTACCCATCCATTGAAAAAAAACTCTAGCTGTAACCACAAGGCAAGAAGAAGAAGAAGAAGAAGAAGAAGAAGAAGAAGAAATATCCTCAGGCTAAAGTACAAATTCCTACAAATTCTTTATACAACGATGAAATATTTCGATTTCTAAATTTCAGCAGTGATAGCCCACTGTTCCGAAAAGTGGCAAAATGTATATTGCTTGGAAGAGGTACGTAGAGCTTTGGTTGATCTAGCGAAACCGGACCACCAAAATGATTGCGTATACTCGGCGAATCAAAAGGGGAAAAAAGTAGTCATCGTTATCGCCGCCACGCGATCGGCGAGAGAAAAAAAAAGAAAAAAGAGAGCAAAGGCAAATATATGCTTTTAAAAACATCCCTTAGAACAGAGTCGGGTTGTTGTCGTCGCGGTAACCATGACGACGTTGCCCCCTTGATGGTTGGTCATAATCGTGCCTTCCTCCCCGCCACTTAGTGAACGTCTGAACGTCGTACCCTTCTCCTTGCTCCGCGCGCGCGGCGCACAGGCGACGCTAGGTTTCCTCCACAGCGTTGGCCAAGTAAAGAAGAGGCAGCCTCGGAGCCTCCGGTCACCTTTCTCTATCTCGCTCTATCTCGCTTTCTCTCTTTATCGAGAATTCTTTCTTTGTCTCTCATATTGCGCGTGTGTGTGAACATATATACACATGCCAACTCTCTCTCTCTCTCTCTCACACACACACACACACACACACACTCACACACATACATATATATATACGTCTCTCCTTTGTTCTCTATCGCTACTTCTTTCTCTCTCGCTCGTTACGATTTCTCCCCTCCACGTAGCGACCCACGATCCACCGTCGTTACCACAGCCACCTAGACCGTCCCTCCTCCCCACTGCCCTTTCCCTCGTCGTTCCAACTACGCCACCCAGCACCGCGGCCGCCGTCCTACCTCTTCGCCCCCCTGTTCAACCACCTCTTCTCTCTCTCTGCACCGCTGCTGCTGTGCTGCTGCCGCTGCCGCCTCTACCCCCGCCCCCCTCCCGCCACCGCTCGTCCCCAAGCCCAAGGAAACGCGGGATCGCTTCGAATTCAAACTACTGAACACGAGGTTACCACGCGTCAAATCTGACACTTCGGCACGACGTTGATCCACCACCGTACTCGTCCTCAGCGCGGTGGTGAAAACGTGAAACCTCGCCGATTCTCACGTGCAGATCGTTTGGTTATCCTTTTCGTGGTAGTATGTAAAGATGGGGCCGATGGAACGAAAACGAAAGATTCGTAACGATTCTTCCATCAGGGTTTTGGAAATCGACGGACGAGAAAGAATCGGAAATTTTTCGTTTCAGCCACTTGAAAACGATCCGGGGAATTTCAGCGGCTCGCGCGGCCGACGGATCTCTTACGGGGATTTCGAAATGCAGTTTTCGAATCGATTCGTGCACACGCACGAAATGAGACGAGAAGTCGCAAACGATTGCACGACAAAACGGATCGCACGCATGTTTTTGTCCGCCTTCCCTGCCGTTCTTGTGCGTCAACCTTTTCAAGGCGCTACGAGACTTTCAGACGCAAGTAACGTTCGTCGCTTCGGGAACGAGACGTATTCTCCTCGATGCTCGAAGAGTTGCAGAGTCGTAACGATCGTGTACATCCGAGGCGTTCATCACACACTGAACCACTTGTACCAGGCACGATCAAGATACACGACGGCTGGAAACGATCCAGGGGAAGAAAAACTCTCTCCTTATAAGAAACACCGAACAACAAAGATCAAGCTTTGGATTTTTGGACGGGCGAAACGGTACACACAACCACCTCGCAGTCGTGCGCTGTTGTGCTCACGTAACGCTCTTTCGGCTGGCCATACATGAACGTTAGAGGCAGGCGAACACAGTTTTCAAGAGGAGGAGGAAGAAAAAAAAAAAGGAAATATTCGCTGGACAGAGAAAGAAAAAAAGAGAAGAAACTGATGCAGCACTTCTCACTCACCTGGCTAACGTCGCACCACATTATTATTTCGCTAGCACTGACGACAGCATCTTGGGTCGCTCGTGTACCATACACAGTGTATCGCACTGGTTTGTTATTTTCAATGAAGAAACAGTACGTGAAATCGGAGCTCCACCGTCGGTGTACGCTCGGTACGGTGAAACGGCTTTTGCGTTCGTTTTCTCTCTCGCAGTCTCACGAAACGCACTCTCACGATTGCGAATACATTCGTCGTCGTTTACTTGTGCCTCGCGTTTCTGGATATAGCCTGTCTGGTTCGTCGAGTAACACCACACGATCACCTCGAGTGAACGACACGACTCTCACCAACGAACCCAGTAGCGACTGGCTGGCCATGCAAAGCATTACTGAATACTCTGACAACAGTACTCGTCGAGTGCCGCCGCTCGGTTTTCCCCCGAGCGTGCGCTCGGCTGTTTCCGTTGGACCTCGGCCCACCTGCACTCTAGCACGACGGCACGGCACGCAGTGCCGTACCTTCAACCCATCGTGCCTCTCGCTTCCTCCCGTATGTGTCTCCGAATCGCTCGCTGCGATCTTCTTACATAGAAAATTCTTTTTTTTTTTTTTTTTTATGTTAAAAAATCGTATCCACACCGAAGAAGGAAAAATCGCGTAAAATCGAATTGCTCTTGTTTGAACTTCTGCGAAAAGAGAAGACAATTTTTGATTCGCATCGATCGTTATATAACGTATATATAAATACACGCAGGGATTTACGGTTGCATTATCGTCGAGATCGCCGAGTAAATTAATATTTACCTAATCTCGGTGGAAAGAAATTGAAAAAAAAAAAAAAAAAAAAAGGAAAAAATCGTCCCTCGAGTGAACGTAAATTAAAGGGTTCTGGCTATTGTCCAGTTTGAAGTAAATTATCCAGTTTGCAAAGTTGCAATAAGGAGCGGGATACTTTAATGTTCACGAAAGAAAGTTTTAGAATTTATTTTCACACGTTGCCGATTGTCCGTGTGTGGCCGAAGTAACACGCGCTATTGTATATATTTTTGTTCGTACGAAATCATGCGGAATGAATTTCATGAATATCGACGCGCGATCATGCCCGATGATTTAGATGTTCCGTTGAATAATTTTTTTTTTTTTTTTATTTTTCGTGCGCGAACGGTGCCGTCTCCGACAATACGAATCCATTAGAGCGTTAGCTAAATTGTTTCGATATATCTATCAAAATACGCGTGAGAAAATTAAAATAGTTCCGCGCGTTTCAATGATTTACTACGCCGACCGATTGGATTTCGAATTCAATAAATTATTTTTAAAAGCCATTGTACATCGAAAAGCGAACAGCATATTGTCGACATTCGACCGGTGGTAGATTTCGTACAGACGGAAGGGTGCGTTCTATTCACGCCACGTAAATTAATTGTATAATTGATATTGAATATCCTCGGATTGTTTATGCCATTCAGGTTGCTCATAGAAAGGAAATTCATTGTTTAAATGTATGATTTTGAAATGTAATCAATGCTTTTATATAAACCCTGATTTATACCCTGATTTATGACGCGTGTATGGTGGTAAAAAATCGCGAGAAATAACTAGCGTAGATGGAAAGCACTTGTTCGAGGCAGAAAGAGTAGGGGAAAGACCACGTGTCCTTAAAGTCTTACCACAAGTAAACATAATAATAGACGGGACCAAAGTATTTGAAATTTATTCTCCTACTAAGTAGCGTAGTTAGAATCGTAATTAGGAGACGTCACTTCAAACACCATAAATCTTTACTACAGACGAATGAAAGAATTTGAAAAGCTAAAAATTTCAATGTAAGTTCTGCTTCGAAGTGAGCGAAATTTAACTCAGAAAATGTTAATTGTTTAACACTGTTTAAAGTACAAAAGTTCTGATCTCTTTGGAATACCACCTCTCGTAAAAATCAATTCTGTCCAGTTAAACGCAAGAATTATCATAAAGAAATTGCCAGAATGGTTCTTCACATAAAATTATTTGCACTAACATCGGCGTGAAAAATTGCTCTACGCGAGAAAGTTCACGATAGCCTGGTCTCGCTCGATGAAAGTTACGGGAGAATGAATTCAGCCACGATGAAAAATTTGATCCGGGCGCAAAAAAAAAAGGGGAAAAAAAAACTCAAAATGACTTAGGCAATTCGATAGGTGTACCGCCGAGAATTATTTCGCGAGCCTCGCACTTCTGGCGCCGTTTATCAGCAAGTTTCTTACGTCGTCCGTGGCCGAATTATACATTATCGAACGATACAAAATCGCAACTGAAATCCATCCATAAACCACGTAGCACGATCGCTACAATAATCCCAGAAATTTTTCCACAACTCTCGCAAATCAAAGATTCATCGAAAATTAACAATTTAATTCATTCAACATTTAAAACGCAATTTGCCACATAAAAATTGAAATGTGTCTGCGAGAAAACGAATTATACATATACACGCGTGAAAACGATCGTGCATTTATGCGGGAAGAAATTCTAATAGGGTTTTTTATACAGGAATAATTCGAGCGTTCGATGCGCAGTTGAAAACCGTGGCTCGATTTCGATTTCGAGGCTACGAAACGGGGAACTCGTAGACACCGGGGCCCCCGGAGTACGAGGGAGTCTGCCCAACGCCGTTAGCTTCGAAACCCGCCACTGACTGTCAGCCTGTATGCGGCAAGCAGCGTAAGAGCGCCACGAGAGGCCTCGGCTCTTGCGAGCCAGCAGCAGACAACGCCGCACGGATATCGCGCGCCACCTTCCATACGGCGAGCAGCCAAAGAAAATTCACCGCGAACATTTTTATTCGGTATCGGGTAAACGGGTCGCGTCATCGGGACGCTTCAATCGCGAAACAACGGCACGCGAGACGACGCATCGATCGTCGATCGTCGTTCGCCGGCAGGCCGGTTAATTTCGGCGATTTTGCACGACATTCCGTAAGCAGCCCGAGGGGAGAGCCGTGGCTCGAGGCTCGGCGAGAAGCGTACAGCGACGTATCGCGCGACGGCCACAGCCGTCGGCGAGGCAGTTCTAAGCGAAGTCGTTTTCTCCGTGAAGGCGCGGTGAAAATGTCTTCCTCCTCCTCCGCCAACAAGAAGCCAACTTCTTTCTCCCTTCGTTGTTGCACGGTGTCTACTTACGTGCATACATATACATCCATATCCGAAGCGCGTTCGCAGCGCTTTTAACAGACAAAGAAGGAACTGCGACGTTTCGCTGCGCGCGTGAAAGTCCCTATGTGCCTGTAACTTGAATTTCGATCGATTCCGCTCGTTCGTACGGAAGTTAAGGGCGGGAGGGGGAGGGGGGACGAAGGATCCACGGCGGCGTTGCGGAATTCTTCGGCCGGGGAATTCGAAAGAAACGGCTCGAGGAGAATTCGATCGCGTTCGATTGGCTCGTGATTGACAACGACGAGTCGGTCAGGCAGAGATCGACGTTTTCAAAGAGATCGAACCCGCCGACCGTGACGACCTGCAACGCGTTTCATCTGGTGTCACCGAGATTCGTTGTATTTGCTACTTTGCGAAGATCGAAGAAGGGAGAGCCTGTGAGCGAATGTTCCGTCGAATTGGCGCGTCTCTCTCGTTTATCGTCGACCTCGTTATCGGGCGATTTTAACGCCGCGAAACGAACAACTAACCGAAAGAAAGGGAGGGAAGAGACGATCGTAGAGAGTGGAAAGTAGAAGTTTTAACCGGCGGCTCTTATTGCCGGCGCGGGAATGCGCCAACGATTCTGACCGCGGAAACGAGCGCGTACCAACCGTTTAAACCCGTTCACTCGCGAGCACCGCTGTATGCGAGCGAATGTATAAGTGTAATACCTGTGCCACGACAAACGGAGACCAACGTACACGAGGACAGACGATGAACGCGTGGCTTCGCGACGGAAGTAAAGCGCTAGTCGGGTTTACGATTGGTTGAGCATTGCGCGACAGATGAATTGTGGCCAATGAATGTCCTTGCTCTCTGGACGAGGCCGCGACGACGTAAGCAAGCCTTATTCGAGCATTATGAATCGCTTGCGTATCCGCGAGACCGCTTCAAACGATTCTAATTGATTTGAAAAAAATACTTGCACTTATTTCATGGTAATGGCGGATATTTTTGATAAAAATATCCACGCTGCCAAATCATATTAATTTTAATAATATTAATAATATTTAAATATTTATTTCATATATTAAAATACCTACTTGTTATATTTGTTGGAAGCAAATTTCATTTTGTGTTTTAGAACGTGCAGAAATGTAAGAAAAAAATGTTCGAAGTACCCTATAATAATTAATGGGTGAAGTATGAATACTACGTATTTGCTATGCTTTGTTCCTCATGATTTTTCCTTCAGTTTTCTTTTTTCATTGTCAACGATAAAACGATGTCAAAAATGATCTAAACTTTCTTTTGATATGATTACTGAACTTTCTCATCTAGCGGCAGAATGGGAACTAGATGTCGATGGTATTCGCGGTGGGGATAAGGAAACATCGGGGAACTCGCGGGGCGTTTTACGATCGTCTTCGAAAGCTGCGACTTCTGTGCACTTCCGGCCTGGATTCTAGAAACACCTTCAGGCGGTTTTCTTTTCTCGGAAGGGAAAAGATAATTCAGCAATCGCTGAAAATGTACTGATTGTGTTGGCTACCATTTAACACATCGATCTTTCTGCTATTGTTTGTTGACAGTTTAGATATAATTTCATTGCCACGAAACATTTTGGACTAGACAACGCAATCCTCATGTTTGTTTTATATAATTCGATATCAGTGTAAAATTAAATACGTATCACGTTAATATTTTTAAACCATTATAATTGCGTTAGTACTAATTTAGTGAAAGTTAATCAATCACATTTTCTGAGACAATATCAACTGGAAATATTGCAAATTTAAGAATATTGCAAATTTAAGAATATTTACGTTACAACTATTCTTGCGGAAGTGTCTGGGCATAGATTCGAAAAGGTATTTGGGAAAATCGTGTTACGCCAGTGGTGTAACGGGCGAGGATATTTGAAAAGTCAGGTCAGTTTTCCTACGGTTTTCCTACAACCGGAAGTTACTCCTTGGCCGCATTTCTCTCGTGCTTAAATATTTTTCTCAACAACGCTTTTTTTTTTATCTCCTACTTTCGAAATATAATTTACACATATTGGGAAATAATTTACTTATAATACCAATATTTCTTGTTTATATTTTTGATTCTGTTAAAAAATAAAATAATACCAAAACTTAAATTTTACATATTATTAACTGGTGTTTTACATTTTATTTTATAAATTCTGCTACTTTTTGTTTCTTATTGCATATTGCAAATTTATTATACTAATCAATAGCAAATTACGGTAGAATTTCGTTCAAGAACAAGAGTTGATCAATCGCAAGTTTGTATATCTGAAGCTCAACATCAACTGGTTTCGTGTGAACGAAATTCTGCTGTATTTCTATTTTTCAGAAATTTTAACACGAATTATGAACACTGTTCACTGTTCCAATCATCCGAATAATATTATGTATTTATAACCACAACTCGCGGCATGAAAATTCCTAGAAATTCAGGAAACGAGATTTCCTGGAAACGAAATCTAAAATCCGGTCATTCGATCCCATCCGCGCAAGCTGATGACGAATAATCAAAAATGAAATTATAATTAAACAATGTTGTTATTGATATTATAATCAATTATTATAATTAACGATTCAAACCGCGATATATTTAATCTTTCGTTTCCATGGGCCAGGGAAACGTTAAACTCTTTTCGTAATTTCATATATAAACATATTAAAATCTATATTGCAAGCTCCGTAGATACATCGTAATTATCGTTAATACATTCTCTCGCGTGTCGATTAAAATAACAGAGGTAGTTCATTGTTGTACATTATTACGTTGTAAAGTATATACACTTGCTCGTGAAAGTGTTGGAATTTTTTTACAAATGCATTATATTTCAAAATCTTTGAAATTTCATCAACACTATACTGACATTCGATCGTCAGGATGAATGTTAGTTAAATTTAGTTAGTCTAAAAATACATATAAAAAGTACAAGATATGTGTTGCAAGTTTCACAACAATCAATTATTCATTACATTAATAAATCTTAACATTCAGTGGGACGATATTTAACATTTATTATTTATTTATTATAGCTTGAGACAGCTACACGTACTGTATATTAATTTTTTACTAAATATACAGTTACGATAAATATCTTGTAACTTCTACAACACATTGTGAAATTAGTTGCAAATTTTACCAATTTAGTAGTTTCTCATTATTAATAGAATTTTACAATGTTTTACACGTTACATAACATACACATGAAACTTTTTCTGTGACAAGTACTCAAATATTTGCGTGAATTACTGTATATACAGGGTGTTCCGTAACTTGTGGGATCCACTTCGGGAGCTGATTGTACGCCAAAAATAATGAAAAAAAGTCATAAGTAAATAAATATATGTCCTATCTGTCTTCGTTTATGAGATATAATGAATTTTCTGTTTTAATTACTACTACAAAAGATGCTCGAAATGACCAGCTTGCATTTGAAGACAAGCCTGCACGCGTCTTGTCATTCATCTGGTTACTCTCTCTATCATTCCTGGTGTTTCTCGAATTTGTCGGAAGCCTCGCTTTATTCTATTTCGTAGTATTTCAGCATTTTCAATCGATGTTGTGTATACAATAGATTTTAAATGTCCCCACAAATGAAAATCTAATGGATTCAAATCCGGAGAACGAGCAGGCCATGCAACATGACCTCCACGACCAATCCATTTATTTGCAAAGTGTTGATTTAAAAATTGCCTAGCCACTCGGATAAAATGCGGCGGAGCTCCATCATGCATAAACCGTATACGAATAATCTAATATCGACTGGAACTCTTCCTCTAATATTTCGTGTAAACGCGTGCTCAAAAAATCACCGTACTTTGTGCCTGTTAGTTTCCCATCAAGAAAAAAAGGTCCAATTAAAAATTTATCAATTATTCCTGCCCATACGTTTAAACTAAACCGGTGTTGATGTCTTGAATGCGCAATAACATGTGGGTCTTCTTCATCCCAATTATGATTATTATGAAAATTGAATATACCATTCCTGGTAAAACTAGCTTACTAGAGTTTGCTCTGTTTATAAAATTCATTATATCTCATAAACGAATACAGATAGGACATATATTTATATGACTTTTTTTAGGCGTACAATCAGCTCCCGAAGTGGGTCCCACAAGTTGCGAAACACCCTGTATATTATTTCTCACCTGCTTCAGCGGGATTTGTGATTAACGAAAATTTCCCATCATGACTGCACTTGCTCTTGTAAGTTTTGCTCCTTCTTGTTTGACCAACAGAGTCTGTTAGTCACTGTCTGTCGATAATCCTTCAAATTCAACAGCGAGGACCCAACAGCAGGTGGAAGTGCCTGGTACGGCTGAATTAAAAGCACCTGTTAACACACGATCGGTTCTTCAGTGACATCTGGACGACATCGCGCAAGTATAAGTTAATCAACTAAGTCGACAACTGGCGCGTGACTTTCGTACACACTCACACCCGCGCTAGTTATTGATAGCTTCGAATGTATCTTGAGATAAATACGTGTTGTATCTGGAGATAAATCTCGAGACAATACGTTTCTAATCTTAAGATTAAAATCTTTTTATTAAAAAAAAAAAAAAGATCATTTCTGATATTGATATTGGATGGAACTGAGAAATGGAGAACATTGAACTACGTACTTGAACGTATAAAGTTTATCGTTCATTTCACAATTTTTCTCGAAACTTTTCACATCTCAAATAGTATAATATTTTTTATCCTTGGAAAATAGATATATCTAAGTGTCTTGCATGAAATTTTTGCTTCCAAGCAGATGTAAAACTTCCGAAACCTTTCATTTATGTAGAAATTTTCCTCTTCTACCCTTCGAATAATCATAGGTATAATATTTTAAAAAATTTTTCTGCTTTATCATTCCCTATTTGAAGGTATACAAAAATTTAAACAATTCTCTTTCCAACGTCTTAATAATAAGGTTCCTTCTACGTTCCCGTTCAATTATCTTGGAACAATCATTATATCTGATCCACAATCGAGAGATAAATTACAGAATTTAATATCTTTAGTTTTCAAATTAAACCTGAGAGTATATTAACACTTATATACTATGTATGTACATTAGATAGTTAACAATAAATAATATATCAACAAATTTATCAAAAACTATTATATATATTATATATATTAATATATTAATAATTATATATTATTATATTTATTATTTATAATAAATAATATATTAACAAATTTATCAACAAAATCTGAAACTCACAATTTGCATCAATTATGGAAATTTCAATACTTGTCTTTATCAAAAATATCTCAAGTCTCTTGAATAACAGTGTATACTTGCAGTCATTTCAAGCAACGCAAAAACACACACACAAAAAAAAAGATCGCGAACCGTATAAACTCGCGATTAAGATTGAGATACTTAATCTCCGGAGCGAACAAACTGGTCCTCGAATTGTTCTAATAAAGTACGAGAGTAAATAGGGAAGGATTTTTAAACTCGCGACACGAAGTCCCGCAACAGATCGGACCCTGATGGTTGGTAATACCGTGTGTCGATCGAGAACTATAAATTCTACGCAGGCTCGTAGGATTAATACGAAAGGATGAGCCAGATATACGAAGAATAAAATGGCCCGCGGTAGCGGCACCATTCAAAAGGGCGGTCACGCTAATAGCGACGATCGGGTCCTCATTATGGATTCCGATCGTGGCCATCGATAAAGATCGGCAATAAGATGCCCTAACTCCTGTGTTCGAGCAAGGGATCCCTTCCGTTTTACGGGCAAGTGCCACGAATTAATTCGGATCGAATCGTTCTGGATTAGGTCGGGCAAGAAGCCTTGGCAATTTCGACTCGACTACTGACCGAGTGAACACCCTGTTTACGTAATAGATCTAATCTCGAGTTCGTTTAACCCTCGTGGCCACTCGAGTAGGATAATTGCTATTTATTTCATTATTGATTTCCTCGTGGCTTCAAGCCACAAAAAAGTCTTCTTGCTTGTAACATGAATCCTGTAACTTCATTCTTTTTTTTTTTTACAAATAAATGACACTTACAATATTTAGCCTTTATTATATTACGCGATGATAACATGTTCACCAAAGGCATTGAAAACATTTCCGACGTGATGCTGAAGATGAAAATTTCGCAACGACCACTTCAAATCTTCCGTACGATTCCTTTTTATTTAACTCCGAGCGTTGAAAAATGTTTAAAGTCCCAACTTTTCGATAAGCTCGGATGAATGAAGTCCCGCGGTGACTTACGATCGTTTAGCCATCGGTGTTAGATTCATGCAAATGAATAAAGCCATTGCTCACGCGGTGCTGTTATTAGCCGGCGTGTGTGATAAATGAGTAGTAAAAAAAAAAAAAGAATGGAAAAAGGAGCGAGAATACGGTACGACCGGCCGTGTCATTGAACGTGAACGAGCGGCGGCGTGTATATAATTATAGGAGACATTTATTAATTCTTTACGATCGACGTAACACGAATTCAAAGCGATCGCATGACGGAGGTCTGGCTCGGCGAGACGCGCGCGCACGCGTGCACAACGCTCGGCCATTCATTCATGCGTTTCGCCAAGTAACATGTATCGATAAAAGCGATGAAACTTATTATTCATTAATTGCTCATTGTCACGGACGGCCGGATAATTCTGCCGGGGATCCCGCTTATGTAACATTCGCCGACGAGATTCCGCGGTTTCGCGATTAATTAATTCTTAACGGATTCTCATTAACGAGTGACGACGACCGGTGGAATAAAAGAAGCATTCGTATTACGTATATAGACTGAAGTACATTCACAATTTTTCTGGAAATAAATTCAATTATGTTTCTAAAGTTTCTCATTGTTTCGGACGTTTGAAAACTTGTCTTCACCGTGCTATACGGTAGTTTATCAAATATTTGAGACTTTTGTTATGTAAAAAAAAGAATTCGGAAATCGAACAGTTCAATTGAAATGAATTTAGTATATATTAAATGTACTTTTAATATTCGAAATTAATAATAAAAATAAATATTAATTATAATATTAATACTAAAACAAAATTAATAATAAAGTAATACTATAAATATTCAAAATGAATTTAATATATATTAAATAAACTTTTATAATTAGATTTCAGCTGCTCGTATATAGATGCACACTTGGATAGGAAATTTTCATCTTCAAGGACACAAAAAGTCTTGAAAATTTTAAATTAAAAATAGATAATGCGTATCTCAGATTCGATACGGCTCTCTATAAGAAAAAAAAAAAAAAAAAAAA